GGGTTGCGATCCGTTGCCGGACACGGAAAAAAAAGACAAAAAGACAAAAAAAAAAAAAAATTCTAGGTCTTTCATTTTTTATCATTCCATGTGAACTTTTGCAGCATTTTAATTTTTGAAATTAGAAAATATACTATGGAGACATATCTCAGTTACTATATATTTATGTTTTCTATATATTAGCGAACATCAGTTTCAAAGACTATCTGCACTCACAACATGAGGTGAATACGTGACCACTTTTCAAATGTTGCTTATTTTTTCTTTACTAAATTGTATTTTGTCCTAAAATACGTAGATAATCAAGTCCAAATCATATGTTTTCTCTTATTTGTTTTTGTGCTTCTGTTACTCTATTTACTTGGCTGATTCAACCTGAGTTGAAAATAAGTTACCCTAGAAGCCTCATGCAGAAGAGATTGACTCAGCAGGGTGTGTTTTTACTACTGAGTCTAGTTCTGTCCCACTCTTGAAATTCACCTCGTATCCTCCCAAGCCCCTGAAATGGAAAACCCTTTCTTGGCTACTCCACAAGGCAGTAAAGGCTCTCCCCTAATCCTGCAATGTTTCCTAAGTGGAGTTTTGAAGACTTCTTAATACTGCCTTTTGGTAGATTGATGTACTGTTGCTTGTCTATGTCAGGCCTGGTTAAGGCAGTGATCATGACTGAGAAATTAGGCTTCCAATGGGACATAAGTTCCCTTCCAGATATCAACGAGTAGCAATTATTTAGCAATTACACCTGAAGATTTGAAGGTAGAATTTTTTTTCAATGATAAGTAGATTTTAGCTAATTCCCTGAGATTATGCTTCTCTATGTTATCCAAACATAATCTATTTAAAGTCATATCATTTCATAAATTAATTTGGTCTCCACTTTTGTCCTAATTCAGAATGGAATAGACAGAGGCTACAACTGAAAAGTAAAAAAAAAAAATTAATGTAAGATGATCTCTATTAACGTCCACCAGTTTTATTTCTTATGTCATTGGTCATAATACCAGAGACAAACACAAGCTCCCTTATCCTAGATGGGAAAAGCAGAGTAATGAAGCGAGTTTCTCCTTTCAAATAGTCATATTCAAGGGTAGTTTTTCTTTTATCTTCCAAATCCTTGAGGTTTCTGCACATTTTAAATGTGTTTAAATGAAAATTTACAATGTCAAAGGGATACCTGAACACCCATGTTCATCATAGCTCTATTTACATTACTCAAGACATGGAACCAACCTATATGTCCATCAATGGATGACTGGATAAGGATGGTGTGTGTGTGTGTGTGTGTGTGTGTGTGTGTGTGTGTGTGTATGATATATATATCATCGAATACTGCTCTGCCTTAAAAAAGAATGAAATTCTCCCATTTGCAACATGGATGAGCCTGGAGAAACTTATATTGAGTGAAATAAACAAAGCACAGAGGGATAAATACCACATGTATTCATTCATATGTGGGAGCTAAGAGAGAAAGAAGGAAAGAAAGAATGACCACAGCAGTGCATTGGACTTGCAGAGGGAGATAACATTCCTTGCGCTACAAAGTGAAGTATGGGGGTGGGGAGGAGTAGGGAGGTTGGGGATAATTGGGTGGGGAACATAGGGTACAAATGCAATTTGTGGTAATGGGTATCCTGCCAGTATGAGTCTGGCCTTCACATCTATGACACAAGGGGTGACATTCAGCTCTGTATCTCATGAATAATCATAACCAACAAGTTTTTAAAAATAATTAATTAATTGATTGATTGATTAATAAAACTAGACAATTTTGGTAACTTCTTTCCTACTTATGTAAATGAAAGAGAATCTGCACTTTGGCTTTAATAATCTGACTCTCTTAAAGGTGAACTTTAATTTTGCCCAAAGTTAACAAGATAATTATCTCAATTCAATTCTCTACTTCCCTTTGGGTCAGAGTCTAAACTTCCATGGTCTGCTTGTCTATCAATTTCTATTATAAGGTAATGGCTTCTGAGCATCTTTCATCTTTGCCAGCAAATCTAAAGCTTTTCTACCAGTGGATTACGGATTCAAACTTGGGAACAAGCCATTTAAAAGCAAAGCAGCTTTACAGTGACAGCCTTTTGGCTGTCTTATCTGCAAGGCCACATCACTTTTTATATTCTGAAAAACTCTGGGCTGAGGAGACTCTGAAATCAAATCCCCTTGAAGTGCCACATCAATGATTCCCCAAGCCCAAAAGGTTTAAATGCCAACCAAGTCAAAGGTGGTTATTTTAGCCACTTCAAATTTATTTTTTTTCTCTTGATTTATTCTATAATGTTTAAAGTCATAGCATTTTATAAATTTGTTTTGTCTCTGCTTTGGTCCTAAATCAGAATGTGTAGACACAGACTATGACTGAGGAGAGGAGACATTTAATATAAAATAACACCCATTAATGTTTATCTATTTTCTCATGTTTTTGCAAGTTTCTCATGTTCAGTTTTAGGAAGAGAGAGACTATCAATGTCAGTGAAAAATTAGGCTTCAAATATTTTTTTAGCTGGGGCGTTCATTATATAAAAGCCTTAAAATTCAGTAGGTTCTTATTTCATGCATGGAACTATCTTCTCTTAAAACTTAAAGATTCTATGGTAGAGGAGTCTTTCCCCGTGTTAAACCCCTGAAATAATAAAAATAATTATTTTCTAGTTGCCAATAATGAGGGGCTATTATATGTGCAGATATAGGATGAATGGTTTGCATATACTGTCATTACACATCCAAACCTGTAATCTTTCTATAGAAAGAGCCTCTTCATTTTGAACCAGTAGTTAAAACCACAGAAATAAAGCAAAAAAACAAAAACAAAATGAAGTGGAAAGTTGAGCAATTGCTGAATGCAGTTAAGTTACCATAGAAAGCTGGTTTGAATAACTTGACTCCAACCTCAAACAGAAAAATTGCCTTCATTTTCTCTTGAACCTTATATAATGCACATATTACCATCAGGAGGCTGGAAACTTATTTGTCTGCAATACCAGCCTGTCTGACTAAACAACCCTGTAGTAGAGTTTTTTTTTTTTTTCAGAAAATAGCTTTAGATGAAAGAAAGTTCAATATTCACAAATGCTATAAAGTCTGGTATAAGGTCACAGTGAGCTGTTAGCAATCTTAGCTGCTTGCCAAGAAGAAAAAAAGGAAGGGAAATCAGCTTCCTCAGAGTGACTGCATTATGCTTAGCAAAGAATCAATTGGTAATTTGAGCTTCTGGGCCAGATCCAATTAGTGAGAGAAGACAACAAAAAGGCTTGGCTGCTGAAACAGAACCATCAGAGTCTTCAATGTTAAGCCTAATTAGTGTATTTTTATTTAAAACTTTACCATTTTTACGTCATCTGTTATT